ATCCAGATTTCAGCTCAAATGGTAATATTAATAATAATATGTCATTATCATCCATTTTAGTATTAATATCATTTAAAAGATATATGTTATCACTTTTATATATTTTTACTAATATTCATACTTTCTCAAATTCAGTTTTATTAAATAAAAAAGATTTTATTTTTATATCAAAGTCTAATGCATCATCTGTAATACTCTTTATTATAATACTTTCAGTTACAAGACTTATATTTTTAGTATTCACTGAATTATAATCATCATTACTATTAATATAATTGAAATTATTTAAAAATAACATATCATTATAATAAGTATTAACTATTTTAGGCACAGATTTGAATGAATCAGAATTAATTACTTCAGAAGTTAGATTAGATTTCTTAAAAATAGGAGCTTTTGTATTCATAATATATATTTTTAGCAAGGAATATTAATGTGTGATAATGTTAAGTGACTTTATTAAATTAGGTTGCTTTGACTTAAGATTCTTTTAAAACTATTGATGTTAAAATAAATAAAATAAGACAGTTAATAAGAGACAGACATCAAGCTTTGCCCAACTTAGCAAAGCAAGATAGTTTATATTACATTATTAGAGAGCTAACTTAAAAGTGAAGTTGGCTTCTGGTAATTATTTTATATTGAGAACTATATAAATTAAGTATGAAAATCTTTGTCAATCTCTTAATTGAATATACTTGCCTCATAATTAAGAGACAAATTTGATAACTATTAATAGTAAACTCTGAAAATTTAAGAAAATTGATCACATAATGAACTACATTTTAACCATTCTCTGAAAATGGGTATGTATGAAAAACTAAGTCATATAAAAAACAGAACTTTGTTATTAATCTTCAGAGTTCTTGCCTATAAATAAATACTGTATAAATAAATGTATTGATATCTATAATATAAAAAGTATATTTCAAGATGCTTTAAAAAATGTTAAAAATGTATGTATATTTTCTTGGATAATAAAATCAAGAGATTTATGGAAGTAAGTTATTGAAGAGTTAACTTTACTAGAAATTTCACAAGAATTTAAGAAGTATATAGAGCAGTTCATTCTGAAAGATAATGATTAAATTTCTGATGAATATTATCAAAATGAGAATAAAGAAATACTCAAGAAGTATCATGCTATTAGAGATTTAATATTAAAAATATTTGTATTTATTTTCTGTGATTCATATTCATGTTCTCTTTTTTAACTTTTATTATTTTTTTTTAAGTATTGCTTTAAAAGATCATCTAATATATAAAACCAATAAAATAATCATGAAGAGTACTTGAAATCATGATACTATAGATCCAATAATTAGTTATCTAACATATGGTATTAAAATATATCATAGCTGATATATACATATTTTTTTATTATTGTTATATATTTTCTTAGTTATACAAAGATTTACAATATTTTTATAATATAAGGATAGTCAAACTGTCAAATTGACATCTGCTTTTAGAGATAAAGGTAAAAAAGTGATTACCAAGACTATATCCAAAATATATATCATAGCTCATATAATTATGAAATAATATTTGATAAAACTTCCTTTAGACTGAATAAGCCAAAGACTTATCTATATAAAATTGATAATTAAATAAAATTGACTAAGTTTGCTAAAGTTTTTTTTGAATCTTTTCTTAATGAGTTAGAAGATATGTATACTTTTTTAATTCATACACATAGTAAATATATTTTATATTAATTATTTAGCTTTTATTTTTTATGACTATTAATTAAAATATTGGGAAGGTAATTTTACATATAATCTTATTTCTTATCCAACACTCTTATCTTGATTTTAATATGATATAATGAAAATTCAGAATAAATTATATGTATTAATAGAAATTGTTCTTTGATTTTTTGGAATAATCCCAGTACTTCAGAAAATTTGAGTTCTTCTAATTCTCTTTATTTCTCTTCTAAAAATTGTTTCTTACTTTCTTTATCAATTTGTGTTAATATATTTACTGTTTTAAGAAATTTTTTTATTCTTTAGAAGATATTAATTTCATATTAGAGACTCAAAATCTTGTTTCTTCAGGATTAGAATTTTGTTTATTTAACTTATCTTCCCTATAAGCTTGCATTCTAGATCCTGATCCAGCTTTGATATTACTTTCAGATATTATTTCTGATAACTAATTTAGATATCAATTTTGTAATTAAAATACGTGGACAGCATGAAAATTTACAATTATTAAGATATCTATCAAGATCTTAATATTTAGTACCTTTAGAGCTTCTTGTATATAAATAAGCAGATCCTACTATATTATGCCAAAAATCATCATTTTTATCCTATTATTAAAAAAACTGGTTTTTTATTATTTTATTATATACTTGAAAAGTAATCAATTTTATTTAATAAAAAATTAATAAATTTGTAAGAATTTGATAATTAATAATTAAAAAATAAAATGAACTTTATTAATTTTGAATTTTATTAGTTTTTAATTTGAATTTTTTTATGATAATTTATCATATATTTTTTATAAATTATTACTATTATATAATATAAGAAATATTTATTTTAATCTTAATAATTTATAATTTTTAAAATAAAACTTTAAATGTATATCTCAGATATTAAATATGCAAATTTTTTTTAATATATATAATATATATATTTTATAAAAAAAGTTTACTAATAATAACTTTTAATTTTATAAAATTTAAAAATATTATTTATTAAATATAAAATAATATAATTATATAATTTGAAGTTATAATAAGTATTAATATAGATCTTTTATATTATATTAGTAATAATATTAATATTATAAAATTAATAATATTTAATATATAGTAATTTCTATAATTATAAAATTAAAAAATCAATTTTATTTATAAAATATAATAAAAATTAAAATTTTTTCTATATTAAAATTTATGATTTTATTAAAAAATAATTTTTATTTTTATATTAAAATAAATTTTAATTTAGCATATATTTTTTCAAATTTTTTAGATTTTTTCTAAAAGAATTATTTTAATTATAAAATTAGTATAAAATTTTTTTTAATCAAATTTTATTTTTATTTTAGACTAACTTTATAATTAGAATAATTCTTTTAGAAAAAAATCTAAAAGTTTAAAAAATATAATTCATAAACTTTATTTTAATATAAAAAAAGATTTAATCTTCTAATATAATATTTAATAATACTATAACTTATAAATTATATTTATTTTAATATAAAAAAAGATTTAATCTTCTAATATAATATTTAATAATACTATAACTTATAAATTATATTTTAATATAAAAAAGATTTAATTTTCTAATACATAATATTTAATAATTATTATATTTGAAAATTAATATTTAAAATTTTATTATAAAATATCATAATATATAAAGATTTAATATTTAATAAGAAAAAATTTATAAATAATATAATATATATTATTTAAACTTATTAAATATTTATATTTATAAATTAAATAAATTTTTTAATTAAGAAATAAATTTAAAATTTAATTTATTAAAATAATTAAAAAGATTTATTTTATTCTTTTAAATTTACTTTTTAATTAAGAAGTTTATTTAATTTATAAAATATAAATGCTTAATAATTTAGATAATATATATTATATAAAAATATAAGATATTAAACTTAAAAATTTTTAATTTAAATTAATAAAAATTTAAATATATAATTCATTATAAATTTAAAAAGATTTTAATTATTTATTTTTATTAAAATTAATAAATAATTTAATTATATAATTATAAATAAATTTTATTATAAATAAAATTTTTTATAATTATATATTAAAACTAAATTTTTTATAAAAAAATATATAATAATTATTAAAAAATTTTATTTTTTAAATTAATTATAATTTAAAAAAATTAAATAACAAAAAATTTTATAATTTGAATTACTAATTTTATATAAAAAATTATTACTTTATTATTATTAATTAGAAAATTTTTAAAAATAAAATATATGAATACTTAATAATTAATATAAAAATTTAAATATATATATATTTAAAAGTATAATAAATAACTTTACTTAAAATTACTTGAATATTTATCTTATTAAAATTTTTTATAATTTATATTTTTAAATTAAAAATTTTTAATAATTAAAAAACTTAAAAAAAATAATTATAATTAAATTTGATTATTATTTTCAAATTTATTTTAAGTAAACTTATTTATTAGATTATTAAATATATATATTTTATATGATTTAAACAAATATTTATTGAATAATAAATAAAAAAAGATTAAAAAAGTATTTTAACTTTTTTATAATTGAATTTTTCAAAAAAATTTTTAATAAAAAAATTTTAATTATGAAAAATTTTATTAAGATAAACTATTAAATACTTTTAAATAAAATTATTCATTAGATTATCAAGCATATATATTATATAATTTAAAAAAATAAAAATTTCACTTTTTTTTATAATGCACTGTATAATATAATATTTATTTATTTAATTTGAATCTTTTATTAATTTAATAATTATTATAACTATAACTATAACTAAGGTTAAAATCTATGTCATCTTTAATTATATAATTTTATATATACTCTAATCCTGATCTAATCTTTAAAATCATTATCATATATTATTTCATCACAATAATTATATATAAATTAAAAAATAAAAAGTTATTTTAATGTTGATATATAATTGAATAAAATATATTTTGGAGTTTTTAATTTTGTTTCGTGCTCCAATTTTAATTCATCAACTTGAATCCTACTTAGAAAATAGTCTTTGATAGCATCTTATTTGATTAGGAAGAGTTGGCCAAACGATGAATAGGTAAACTTCCTAAAACTAATAACTTTATTAAGATGTATAATAGTCAATATATTCTTTACTATTAATGCAACGATTCGGTTTGGTGGTCAACACCAACCAAATTGTAATTCTACCAATAATAAAAAAAAGAAGATTATATTACAATGATTAATATATCATTGCACTCTGATTGTTTATTTTTTACCTTTCCCAATTATTCGATTTTTGTTGACCCTTTTTCAGAGGACGAGGATGATTGTTTCTTGTAATACCCATTTTTATTACTCAATCCCTTTTCTTTTTCCTTTATCTCAAAGTTCTTTTCCAAACGTCTTTTTTCCGACTGCTTAACAAATGCTTCTAAAGCAATACCCGAAAACACACATGCAACAGCCACCCACTGCCCAAAACTCAATTGATGATTAAACCAAAACACCGACAACAACATAGTGAATAATTTACGTGTTACAGTGACTGTCACCAAAAAAAATGACCCAAAATTCTGCAACGCATAAAAAATAAAACATTGTCCTAACGCACCGCATAACGAAAACAACATTATGTCTTTGATCACGGCCGGATACTCGAAACAAAAGTTCACAGCATTACCAAGTTCCGAGTTCCATGGAATCAGTAGATATCCAAGCATCAGTGATCCCCCAAACAAATTCATGGACAACATCATTTGTTGCCCAGTTACTTTATACTTGTGGAATATTTGATCTTGTGTGGCATTCGTCACGCCATCCACTAACAGACTCACTGAGAGTAATAGAATCCCGTATATTGAATTTGAGGCTGCTCCGCCTGCACGTTTCTTTTCCGAGATTGGTTGGAGCAACATGAATCCCGAGACACCGAGCGTGATCAAAAACACCACTATATATTTATAGAGTGGAAATCTTTTTCGATATAGTAAGACGTTCATTAACATTACTGGCACGAGTTTACACGATTTTCCTAGAATCATTGTCGGATAGTCAATGTGTTTCAAACTTTGATAGCCGAACGGTGATCCAACAGATTGAAGAAACGCCACCTGGAGATATCGAAATAGAAGATCTGGGTTCTTGAAATTATTTTTTAGAATACTTTTATTTCCGGTGCCAATTAAATGGCATAATGCTACAATCGACGCAGTGAATGATTGAATCGTGTTTAGAAAGATAAAGTGTCGAAAATGTTTTGGTTTTAGTGATGATTCGTTAATATCGTTATTTGATATCTTGTTGTATGGTGTTGTGGATACACGTTCTTGTAGTACTCCCCAAGTTAGAAAACACACGTATATACCCGTGACGCAAAATAAAACTTTTAATAGTGACATTATTATTTATCTTTGGTATTTTCTGATAAAGAAGCAGTTAATACACAGGGAAAACTCTGAAAAGAATATCGATATCGATATCGATATCGATAATAAAAATTGGAAATTTATTTTATCTCTCCGACCAATCAAGCATTGACAAATTGAACAAACTTTGGATACTTTGATTACATTTGTCTGATGCGTAGTTCGCAAATTACAAGCTCATCTGCCTCTGAAGCCTCGCCTTCATACACGTTTAATAACGTTTCCGAGAGGCATCAACCACAACAACAGCAGTCACCAATTTCATCCTCAAATAGCAAAACTTCGCGTAGAAAAAGTTCTTTGGCCTTGGAAAAAGCCGAGGGTGGTGGTGTCAACGTCTATGTTCCAGACAGGGACGACGGCGAAAAAATGCTTGTTATTAATAGTGCAAGCGTTAGGAAAAAATTATGGTTACGCGCTATTACATTGATCTTCGTTTTTGCTGGTTTGATATGGTTTTTTACACCGGAAGATAATCGACGGATACCGAAGTTTTCTGAATACCAAGGTATTGGATTGACAGTTGATATGGGCCAAATAATAATAAATCGGTTGCGTGATTTGGGTTTCAATTTATTCTTATTTCTAATTTTCTAACAGATAAATATTTTTCAAGATGATTCACCGCGCGACTTAAAAGAATTATCTGAAGAAGATGGGGATCTTTTGGCTAACACTAGAAACCCTGCAGTGGCTTCAAATTCAGCATCTGACTCTCCACTCACATCCTCTTATTGTACAGTACCACATCCAGGCCGCCAACTAATTCAGTATGCATTAATGATTGATGCTGGTTCAACTGGCTCTCGAATTCACATCTACCGATTTAACTATTGTAAAGCATCCCCGACACTCGAGAATGAAGTTTTTGCGCATACAGAACCTGGATTATCAGCATATAATGATCCGATTCAAGCTGCGAAAAGTTTGGATACCTTGTTGCAAGTGGCACTACAAAATGTTCCGACACAATTATATAACTGTACACCGGTAGCTGTGAAAGCCACTGCTGGATTACGATTATTGGGAAAAGAGAAAAGTGAGACTATTTTGAAAACTGTGAGAGAACGTTTGGAAAATAACTATCCGTTTCCGATAATTGAAAAGAATGGGGTAGTTATTATGGATGGAAAAGATGAAGGTAGAATTTCTTTATTATCACACGACACTCAAAATTTAATAACTAAATAAATAATAAAAAAAATTATATTAGGTGTTTATGCGTGGATTACAGTCAATTATTTATTAGATAGAATAGGCTCCGTTAAAAAACAACCAACGGCTGCTATCTTTGATCTTGGTGGAGGTTCAACTCAAATAGTATTTGAACCTGATACAATCGATGGATTTGAAGTTGCACCCGGTGATCACAAATACGAATTAGAATTCGGCGGACACACTTATATACTATATCAACACTCGTATTTAGGATACGGATTAATGGAAGCGCGAAAAGCAATGAAAAACTTCATGGCAAAATTGTGGCAAAATATTGATACACATGATATCCCGGGTTTATACTTTGACGACTTAACCCTAGATAATATAACCGGTGACAACTACATTCCACACCCATGTTTCCCGAAGAATTTCACCGATCTTTGGATCAACTCCACATTTATCGGAACAGGCGCAGGTCACGCACAATGTCGCGCAATCACCGAAAAAGTACTAAACAAAGAGAAAGAATGCCCTTTAGCTCCATGCGCGTTCGACGGCATCTATCAACCACCTATCCGAGAAACATTTTCATTCCACGACATCTACGCCTTTTCGTACTTTTACGACCGCGCAAGTCCGCTTGGTATGCCGTCAGAGTTCTCGTTACGCGAATTGGGCGAGTTGGCGGAAGAAGTGTGTTCTGGGAACCTGGAAAAATTCGCGCATTTGCCTCAGGCGATTAAGGAACTTAAAAAGAATCCACATTATTGTATGGATTTGACGTTTATTTATGGATTGCTGCATATTGGGTATGAGATTCCGTTAGAACGCGAGGTTAAGATTGCGAAAAAGATTAAGGGAATTGAGACTGGGTGGTGCCTTGGGGCTACTATTGCTGTGTTGGATGCGAAGTTGTGGTGTAGAATATAATTTGTAACTTTTTATTTATTTTAGAATAAATTATTGAAATAGATTTTAGCAAAGAATTAATTTATATGTATATAAAGTTTGTTAAAAACGTTCACTAATGGAGATTGGAATTCAAGCTTATGATAAATATTATTTAAAGTCTTGCAATTCATCAAACTAAAATATATTTTTGATTGTCACCGGCAACACAGGCGTAATTACAATCTATACTCGGCTCACTTCACAGACCAATAAGAATGCGCGATTTTTTTTTAATTTTAGGCGATTTAAAATTTGTATATTATATTACCGTTACAGGAAATCGAAAGATTAAACCATTTTAGCATCAATTTGTGATTCTTTATCGGATCCAGGTGCATTTGTGCAATTTTTATTTTTTTTAGAATCCCTTATTAATAATCATTAACTAGAAACTTTAAACGAACAGCAGAATCTTAAAATAAATTAGACTGTAACTAATTAAGTGGAAATTATATGTATTTTAACATTCCCAATGTATGTGTCGCAAATATGTAACGCGCGTTAATCGTTCGGAATACATTACTTATTACAATTTAATAATGGTAATGACGGTATTAGAGGCAATTGTTTGAGATTTTAAAGATGAGATCGATCTCAATGATATTTTATTAATGAAAGAAAATGTCGTTAAAGAAATATGTAATTTTTTGTACGCACGGAAAGATTCTTTAACCGGCCAAATACAGTCAGACCCCCCTAAATGCAACTTGCTCGACCAACTTTTTGATATCGAACAATAAAAAAATTGTATTTATGGAAGTTAAGTATATATTTAGGTCAGAGTTTGAGCTCGCATTTGGGGCGATGTTGCATTTAGGGAGGTCTGACTGTAATACATTTTAAAACTAGAATTGTTTCAAAAATCATGTTTTAAATGTATACGATATAATTGTGAACGTCGAGCATGATTTAAACCCGAGTTCTACATCATCATCCACTACCCACAATAAATGTCACAATTCTTTTTTGCATAATCGAAACTTTACGTGATAATTAAGTTGAAACAATAAAACAATTATTACACATATCATTCATTTTCGCCAACATAGCTAAAAGTACAAGCTAATAGGTTTATTTTGTTGTAATGATAATTCGCCGCAATAATTTAGCGATAGTTTGTAACATTGATACTGTTGAGTTGATTAAGCGAATTTGAATGATGCCAACAAATTTATGTAAATCATTCTATGACTTGATGTTTCAATTGATTGATTAATCAAATTGTAGTTGCCGAACTTTTGATGCGGGTTTTTCCAGAATTTGGGAAAATTTATTTATTCTTAACATTCAATATATCACCGAGTAATTTATTCTTTGAGAACAATTTATCAAAAAATTGTCCAATCCAAAATTGTCATATACATCTGGTTACATAAGCCATTCATGTTCTGAAAGAATAAATAATTATAATTTAAAATTTTCTTTTCATCGATAGTTCTTGAGGTTTTTTTATCGAATAATGATCTCTCATTTTTATCAATTTATTTTAAAAAACATATTTAAAAGTACTAACAAAATTTTGTTGTTACTTATTTTTGCAAAAGAAAGATATAATAAAGAAACAATTCAAAAATGACGTTATTAATTTATTATTCGAGCGTTATTCTTTCGGAAACTGAAAAAATGATCTGCAAAAATTAGCGATGTTCGATTGACATCCTAGCGTTCCGCGCTCTTTCTGCGCGACAAGACTATTTTTCGATTTATCTGTTAATTTTATCAAAGATTGAACGATAAATAAAATTTTCTTCCTTTTGCCTCAATAAGTAATTGACAACATCCGGCTTTTCATAATGTGAACAATGTTTTATTTAATATCCGTCAAAAACATCTTTCCCGACTTATATCAAGTTAGAATTATTATAGTATTTCAGTAGTTTTCTGGCAAAACTCTGAATTGTTACTTGTATAGTGAGAGGCATAAGTGCAAATCCAAAAATTAATTGAAGAATGAATGAAAAGGAATAAAGTAAACTTGGAATAATACTGAAATTTAATTTGAATACCGCGAATAATATACATGAAAATTTTTTTGCAACAATTCGTGAAATAAAATTTCGCCTGATTTTTTTTTCCTTTTAAAAAATACCCAACAACCATAATGTAAACCTTTCTATTATATCACCAAAAGCTAAAAATGCGTTTTGCAAACTTTTTGAATCTTTTTATTCAAAATGCTTTTTTTCATAGCATTATTTTTGAATTGTAATTTAAACTAATAAATAATGTTCTTCGTTATATCAAATTTATGCAATATGGTTGTTATATTTGCAAAATACTTTTTATTTCCTGGTCAGATGCTTGCTCGTTGTTTTGATACCAAGAGGCTAAATTTTTACGGAAAAATTCAATATTTCAATTAAAAAAAACCAAAACCAAAAATGACGATAAATAAAAAAAAACTCACCGACAGTCCCCACAATTTGCGGCCCTTTCAACGACACAACATCGTCCACTTCATGTAAAAACGTTTTCTGCGCATCAGATCCAATCACACCGGCAACCAAGACGATTTTACCTTGATACCCTAGCATCGATTTCAGGATAGTGATCGCTGCTCGGGCATTTTGTCCGGTTTGAATGCCATCGGTGACTAAAATTATTGTTGCATTTTCGCCGGTTGGAATCGAAAGTCCTTTTGGTGAGTATTTGTTGATTAGATTCTGTAGTTCGGGTCGCTGTTATTGTTGTTATTAGAGAGAGAAATAAATTTTATAAGATTGGAATTTTTTATTTTTTTATTATATACCGTGACAATTCAATGATTATATACCTCTTGTGCGACAAGGTTGTCAATTGTTTCTTGTGAAATATCACTTCCCCTGCAACATTTATATGTATATATTGTGAATAAAATATACACGATTTTTTTCAAATAGTAAAAATGCTTGATAGATACCGAACAATTTGATCCTTCAACATAACTTCTTCTTGTAATCGATTGGAAATTGCGCCAAAAGTTAAGCCACCAATTTTCAATAACCGAATAAGAAACAAATCAAGCGGCAGATTTAAGTCTTTGGCGATTTCATATGCGACAAATGTTGCCTCCGGTTTTATAGAGAATACAACTATGAAATTATATTATAATATTATGAGTTATATGGATATGTAGAAGTTAATGAACATTCGATGGTGAAAAAAATACTAACCAGTATTATCATGGTTTGCGTAATATCTTAATAGCTTTGCCAACAATTTTCCGACTTCCGAGCGAGACTCAAATTTCGGATGAACATACGAAGTACGCACATTTGGTTGTGAGACGTGCCCAGCGGTTACGTGTTGGTGGAGCAGTTCATGTCCTTGACCATGGAGTAATTCATGTCCATTATTTTGTGTGTATCTAGAATTTGTTTCAGGTAGTTGTTCTGCGAGCATTTTTTTTATTTAATACTTGATAATTTGTGAATTATGGTTCCTTTTATTTCAATTTTTATTTAGAAGACATAAGAGAATTTAAAAGAATGGGAATAATCTTTCAATTTATACAATTTTTTATTTTCACACGAGATCTATCTGATTGATTGTAGTTTCTCACACCACACATACGCTTTTATCTTGACACGGTTCATGGGGTTTCAGTTTTTTTTTTGATAATCTTATCATTATCTTGTAACGCACTTGAATCTATAGTGTCACTTTACGTCATTAAAATATTAAATTAACGTAAAGTGGCGCAATTCCTATTATGAGTTGTAAATATTTAGAAAACATAAATCTGCGCTAAGGGTTCCACGACGCAGAAATAGATAAACCATATATAGAGCGAAGGTTTGCGGGGATGCCCAACATGTTAATAGCGACGATCTTTAAATAATGATCATCTGGTGACTTTATCGTAGCGAATTGGATGACAGGGAAATTAAAAGAATAGAAGTAGTTGGTTTATATTCATTATCCTTTGCGTAACTATTATCATTCTCAACTGCACTTTTATACCGATTCACAGCATATGGCCTGTTGCGTTGTCATCCTCTCTTGATTCAAATACCGCTCGAATGCTTTTTCCCATCTTTTGTATCACGATTTCATTTCGATAAAAAAACCATATACTCCGCCCTCCGCCAATTTCACAACACTCGAATGGTTCTTTTGTGTTCCGATTCCATATTGACATTTGATGATTCTACATTCTACATAAATGATACATCATCTCTTTCAATTATGAATTCCGATTTGACAAAAAAATTCTAAAAGTAGCTTATATCGGGCAGTTTAGTTTCCAAATAGTTTTGAATTTAAAAGAATGCTGACTATGCAAGGTGAAATGCGAATGAAATTCGAGTATCTGAATTGTCTTTAGCGGCCAAATCTTTTCCATCATAAATCTAATTCTTTTGGTGGCGAAGCGGTTGGCCATTCGATTCCTTCAAGTCGTTTGCTTATTAGATATCCGGTCGAGTTTGTTGGTATGTCATCCTAGCATGCTTGATAAAAGTTAACGCATTTAATCTGGAGTTCCGCAAATCCTTTTTTTCTTGAACAAAAAGCATACCCATATGAATCAATGAGGTAGAAATAACACACCCAATGCATCTAAAAAATTTAGCATATATCTTTGAAATGCGGGATCAAATCTAACTTTATCACTTCTAAATCGGTTTTCGAATGAGATTGATCATTTGAAACTTTTGAATAACCTTAGTCTGTAATTTTGCCTTTTCCCTTATAAACGGGTATATTATAGTGACTTTATTAACAAACAATTTAACATTAATATTTATATGGTTTAGAAT